TCCACGCTCACCGCACCATGCGGAGATAACTGCAGCAACGGGAGCTAGGCTACGGGCTAGGCACGTGTGCTCGTGTGATCTCTGCGTTCTCTGTTCCTTAGTCGTTTTCCTTGTGTACACACTACTTGCTAGTTCACGGGGAAAATTGGCAAGAGGTTCACTAGGAAAAGTTCAGAACAATTGGTACAATGAAGTTGGCATAGCATGACTACATCAGAGCAAGCATTCAGGTCGGCCAACTGCCAGCGCAGCTTGGTCGACCGCGTTCCAGCACGACTTGGTCGACCGTACTCCAGCAAGGCAAGGTCGACGGCGTGCCAACGTCGCAGGTTGACGGCGTGCCAGCGTTGCTCACGCAGGACAGCAGTGCACCCGCCTTGCAGGTGTGCGTAGCTGATTGGCGTGCAGAGTCCCGTCACCTGCACAGCGCACACTCCACGTCAACCTTGAGCTGACGACTGCCTCTGGTCCGCCACGACGACCTCGGGATACCACCACCGAGGTCGTGCTCGCCACCTTTGCCTGGGCGACCGTCGCACTTCTCCGCAGCACTTCGTCACCCAGGTAACCTGGTCGACCGGGCAACCACGTCGACCAGCAGCTCTTGCACGTGCCCGTCGACCTCCCAAGTCGACGACCACCCCAAGTCGACCTCCTCAGGTCGACCACTACTCCCTGGTCGACCAGCTCCAAGTCGACGTCACTCCTGGTCGACCAGAAGGGCTGGTCGACTTCCCAGGTCGACCAGGATGGTCTGGTCGACGTCCCAGGTCGACCTGAAGGTCTGGTTGACGTCCCAGGTCGACCAGAAGGGCTGGTCGACTTCCCAGATCGACCAGGATGGTCTGGTCGACGTCCCAGGTCGACCAGAAGGTCTGATCGACGTCCCAGGTCGACCAGAAGGGCTGGTCGACTTCCCAGGTCGACCAGGATGGTCTGGTCGACGTCCCAGGTCGACCAGAAGGTCTGATCGACGTCCCAGGTCGACCAAAAGGGCTGGTCGACTTCCCAGGTCGACCAGGATGGTCTGGTCGACGTCCCAGGTCGACCAGAAGGTCTGGTCGGCGTCCCGGGTCGACCAGACGAAGTTGGCGCCCTCCTGAAGTCGGCGCCCATGCAGTGGCTCCCCGTGCAGGTTGACTAACCTCGTCGACCAACTCGCCCACTGCTGCAGGTCGGCTGCACCCTACACCCGACCACGAAGTCGGCTCCGCCCAGGCGTGGACGGGGCCAACATACAACTCCCGTTGACACAAGAGAAGCCGCAGCAGCCACCACAAGAGCATACACCGCCTGTTCCTGTGGGTAGGTGGCAGCAACTACTGCAGCAGCAGCTGTCCAAGTCACCACGGTCCCCCATGAAGAGAGTGACTTGGAAGGAGAAGCTGCAAAGTTTGGAGCAGGGGGAGGCATCACCTCTGCGCCACACCATATGCATCTCCCGGCCACCTGAAAGTTTCACACCAAGTACACAGTATGCTTGCATGTATGATCATGAGGTGCATGATTTGGAGGAGTGCATGCTTGTGGATGCTGAGGGGGGTGAGATTTGGCTTGATTTCTGTCGCATGGGTCAGGTGCATGAGCCTAAGTCGGTCAAAGAGGCATTGTGCCGTCCTAAGTGGGTCGAGTCCATGCGTGAGGAGCTTGAGTCTCATAGGGTGAACGAGTCTTTTGAGCTGGTTGATCCAGCTTGTGTGCCACCTGGAATGGAGGTCTTAAGGTGTCAGTGGGTGTGGAAGTATAAGCACATGGCTGATGGGAGTATTGAGAGGCCTAATTCCAGGTTGGTGGCCATGGGGAACACTCAAACACCAGGTGTTCACTATGACCAGGTATATACCCCAGTGGGTAAACCTACCACCCTGAGAGGTTCCCTTGGGATGGCAGCATCCTCGGGGTCTCACATCCATCACACGGATGTGACCACTGCCTATCTTCATGGGGTCTTGAAGGAGGAGCTTTACATGAGGCAGCCACCTGGTTTTGATGATGGGTCCGGCAGAGCTTGCCGACTCAGGAAATTAATCTATGGGCTAAAGCAAGCTCCAAGGCAATGGTACCTCAAGTTTGATGAGGCGCTGATGGATTTTGGGTTTGAGAGGTCGGAGTGTGACCCCGCCTTGTACCACTTGGTGAGTCGTGAGGGCAGGCTGTCCCTCTACCTCTATGTGGATGACTTTCTTCTCATGTCTTCGAGCATGGTCTTGCTGGACGAGGTGAAGGGTCTCTTGTCCTCTCGTTTCTGCATGAAGGACTTGGGGGAGGCTAAGAATTATTTGGGGGTGCAGATTGAGCGTGATGAGAGTGGCATCTTGATTCATCAGGAGAGGCACATGCTTGAGTCCTTTGGCCTTTCTAAGGCTAACCCCGTGCGTACCCCTCTCCCTACAGGGTTCGATGTGGATGCACATGCTGAGGGGCCCTTACTGCGAGATGAGCTGGTCCAGCTCTATCAAAGCATTGTGGGGTCTCTCGTGTATGCAAGCATAACCACGCAGCCCCAGATTGCTTATGCAGTGACACTGCGGTCCAAGGTGGTGTCTTGTCCCCAAGGAATTTCACTTGTAGGCTGCTAAGAGAGTGCTAAGGTACCTGAAAGGTTTTGTCAAGTCAGGTATCTTCTACCCCGCACACAGCAAGCCTCAGGTTGAGTTGGTGTTCTTTAGTGATGCTGATTATGCTAGAGATTCAGCTGATCACAAGAGTCACACCGGCTATGTCTATAGCCTTAATGGTGCAGACATCTCTTGGCAGAGCAAGAGGCAGCCGGTGGTTGCATTGTCCTGTAGAATTCCACTACTATAGCAGCTTGATAGAGCTCATAAGCACGATTCCAACGCACCAAAGACTGCAGGAAACGATCCACTATAGCCAGAGATACCCACAAACATAGCAGTGATAATGACTTGGTTGATTTCTAGTTTGTGCTCTCTGGTTTTACACTAGGATGCAATACAAAAATAAAAAGCACACAAGATAGTGTCGACCCGGGTCGCACGTTGAATTTCGTCGACGCGAAATTCGGAGCCTTGAATTTCGCCGAGCAAATTCCATTGACTGGAATTCTGTAGACGAGAATTTCCGCGACAAGAATTCCGTCGACCACCGACTGTAACTCCCGTGCGAATTCTGTTGACTTCGACACTTTGCTACCGAGTTTCAAACCGAACGCGACCCGAGATCGATTTCGCCAAACTGTCCCCAATCTGTCTTGACAAGACACTTTTGGGACACTTGAATCAAAAGGTCTCCTGTTCGAAACTCGTGTGCACCATAACCAGCGCCCTAGCAGAAACTGTCCTGAATCTGTCCTGAGACACTTTTAGGACAGATTTGAAGGTCACGAGTTTGAATCCCAGCGCAGACATTTTGTTGCTCATGGCAGCATTTCCTTCAAACTCGCCCCCTTGGTGTCAAGAGCACTGCCTTGTCGAGCCGCTTCGTGAAGAAGTCCGCGGGCTGCGCCGTTGTAGGGATCTGCTGCACCTCCAACTTCTTCATGCGCACCATGTCCTGTAGCCACATGTGGCGACGGTCAACATGCTTCATGCGCCGCCTAGCTGAGCTGCACCGCTGACATGTTGTCGACGTACAGGGTGGTGGGGACACCCTTCTTGAGCAGTTGAAACTCCCACAGCAAGAACCTTAGCTTGCGCCCCTCCTTTCCCGCTTCCACCGCAGCCACAAGCTCGCTCTCGGTGGAGGAAAGTTTGGTTGCACCCTGTAGCTTCTCGGCCTGCCATGAAACAGCAGCTCCGCAAAGCATGAAGAGGGAGCCTCCCATGGACAACTGGTTCTCCTTGTCGCCTGCATCATCCGCATCCGCATACCCTACGAGAGTCAAACTCTCTGGTCCTCCCTTGAACAGCAGCCCCTTGTCCGGTGAGGCAGCTCAGTAGGAGAGTGTGCGGAAGAGCTCATGCCAATGCGCATCGGTCCTGAGGTGTGCACCTGCTGCAAGGCGACTGCATGCAAAAGAGAGGTCAGGACGGGTTGAGATGGCTGCAAACTGCACCATGCTGAGAATTGACAAGTGCTCGGTCATGGTATGGTTGGCAAACTAACCAGCATCCTGCTTGGCAAAGCTGGCAGAGGAGAGAGGAGTTATCGGCTGCTTCTTTGGTGGCGCCCCCTTGAAGAACCGCTGCTGCACCTTCGCCACGTACGCATTCTGGTGCAGGAAGAGTGTCCTGTTGGGGCGATCTCGCTCAATCTGCAGTCCCAGGTAGCGCTCCTCTGGCTCCACCTCACGGAGCTGAAACGCCTTGGCCAACAGCCCCTTCAGGTTCTGCAGAAGCTGCTGGTCTTCACTTGCCGCTAGCAGGTCATCCACGTAGATTAGCAGCCACACGCGCTTCCCGCTTTCCCCATCCTTGTAGTATAGGGCCTGGTCTACAAGGCTCTTCTTTTACCCCCCCCACAAGGAGCACCTTGTCCAGCTCCTTGTACCACAGAAAGGGACTGTGCTTTAGCCCGTAAAGGCTTTTGTGCAGGAGGCACACCTTGCTGCTACCGTCGGTGAAGTAAGGCGGCTGCTGCATGTAGATCTCGTGGTCGATGGTGCCGCGAAGAAATGCATTCTTCACATCAAGCTGCAGCAAATCCAGGTCCATAGCTGCTGCGATCGAGAGGAGCACGCAAACGGTGGTGTAGCTGCCAACAGGAGCGTAAGTGTCGTCGTAGTTGATGCCGAATCGCTGGCTAAAGCCCTTAGCCACTAGCCTGGCCTTGTACTTCTCCACGGTGCCATCAGGCCGCAGCTTCTTCTTTAGCAGCCACTTGACGCCGACGGTTTTGCGACCTTCAGGTAGGTCAGCCAACGTCCAAGTGCCTTGCTCATCAAGTCTCTCCATCTCCTCCTTCATAGCAGCCCACCATTCCTTGCCTTCAGGTCCGGTCAACGCAACTGCCAGGTCGAGAATGACACCTCCCCAAGCGCCTTCCTCCTCCTCATCCTCGTCCGGGTACTCCACTTCGTCATCGCTGTCCGTGTCGCACTAGTCCTCAGCAAGGTATGCCACGTCGTACGGGTTGTCCTCATCATCTGCATCCTGGGCCGTCATGGCTGATGGCTGAAACCGTATGGGTGGCACCCCCTTGTTAGGCCTGCTGGAGCGACGTGGGGGTGGTGGAATGGGCTGGAAGGGGGGAACTGCAAGTGAAGGCTCATGCTCATGGGCCATTGGTGACTGCTCATCCACTGCTACTTCTTCTTCCTCCTCGTGATCAGCCATGCTGGTGTCAACCTCCAGAGGACCATCCTCTGGTCCTACGAGCGCCGAATCAGCAACGGAGGGTGGACCAAGAGGAGGAGGTACAGTAGGCGCCTTGCTGCTCAAAGGGCCCACCGAGCGTTCAAGGGGTTTCTCGCCCCCTTGTACAGACGGTACCGGGACCACGATGACAGTACGTGGTGGCGGCGGATTCTGCTCGGGGTCGTGGGGCTCAGGGAAGAGAGATGGGACTGAAGCAAAGGGTGGTGTGGGCTGGTCATTCCCGTCACCCACGCGTGCACGCCACTTCTGCCACCGTTCAAGTGACATGTTCTCATAAAAACATGCATCCCGGTGATGACCATGCGCTTTGACTCAACATCCACCACACGCCATCCCTTATTTTCCATGCTCATGCCCAAATGAATGCCCCAACGAGTCTTGCTTGCAAGCTTCCCCTCACGCTCATGCTCAGGAATGAGGTACTGCACCATGCACCCGAACACACGGACCATGGACACATCGGGCCTGACTTTGAACACCACCAAATGAGGGGTCACACCATGGGGCAGGGTGGATTGGTGCACACAGTTTACCATCCACAAGAACTGCTGGAAATTGAAGTGCCACCAGTGTGCTTTTACCCCCATGTGCCCCAGCATCACACGCATGCCCTCGGTTACCGTACGGTTGCGGTGTTAAGCCACACCGTTCTGCAGGGGGGTCGAGGGGCAGGAGAGTTGATGTAAAATTCCTCGTTGCTTCAGCAGCAACAGAAACTCATTCGACATAAACTCCCCTCCCCGGTCTGACCGCAACACCTTCAGCGTCATGCCGGTTTGGCGTTCAGCTTCGGGGAGCCATTCCTTGAAAGCAGCAAGCGCATCGCTCTTCAGCTTCAACATCTTCCCCCAGGTGTAACGTGAGGCATGGTCGACAAAAAGAATGTAGTACCTGCTTCCATCCATGGCTAGGGTTGGAAATGGACCGCACACGTCAGTATGGACCAGCCCAAGTACCTGCTCCTCTCGCTCGTCGTGCAGCGGAAATGATTCACGAGTGAGTTTGGCTTCATGGCAGGAGGTGCACGGCATATCCTCACATCCTTTCTCCAGATCCATACCGAATACGCCACCGCTCGTGGCTGTCCACTTCACCGCATCGAAGTGGACGTGTCCAAGGCGAGCGTGCCACAGGTTGGGCATTGCCTTGGAGCCCACCGCGTACGTCTTGAGGCTGGCCGCTCCATCTTTAGCTTCTGGCTTGTTTGACGCCACATCAGCAATCTCCTTCGCCGTGCCGTTGCATGCCAATGCAGCCCCTGTGCCGTTGCTCGCCGCTCCACCCGCCATATCGGTGCATGCCGCTGCAGCCGTTGCACCGTTCCTTGCTGACCCTGGTTTCAGGTCAAGGCAGTGAAGGCGATGGCGATATCGTGCCGTTGTAGCCACTTGACCTCCTGATGCGATGATGCGAGTGACACCTTCCTCGGTTTGCAGCTTTGCTTCCTTGTCCAAGAGCTGCCAAGGGGAGACCAAGTTGGCCTTCATTCCTGGCACAAAGAGGACATCATGTAGGGTCACACGCAAGCCATTAGTGCCCTCCAGCAAAACCTCACCAACACCGGCAACTTCCTGCATAGAGCCATCAAACCCTTTGACTGATTTCGTTGCAGATGGGTCACGGATCACCGTGAACCACTCCTTGAGGCCGGTCATGTGTTGGGAGCATCCTGAGTCAAGGAACCACAAGTCCTTGTCGTCGGCCAGCAACTTTGCAGCCAAACACGCGACGGTGAGCGCCACGCCCTTCCCGTCTCCTTCTGCTACGTTCACGGCTGCCACGGGCGTTGTATCTTTCTTCTTGTTGGGGCACTTGGCAGCCATGTGCCCCTCCTCATTGCAGTTGTAGCAGCGCCCCTTGAAGGGGGCTCGCTTCTTCTCCCACTTGCCATCCTTCTTCTTGTCCGTCTGCTCCCTTCCCTCTTTTCCTTCCTTCCCGTTGACCCCCGTTGTAGCCACGATGGTGTTGACAGCGCCCGAGAAAGCAGATGCATCACTAGTGATCTGCTTGTAACTCTGTTTGATGGAGAGAGTCTGCTCCTCCATCAACACCTCGGTGCACACGCGTTCCACCGTCATGTCAGGGCTGGAAATTTTGAGCTTGCGGCGAAGAAATCCGTATTCCGGTGGTAGGCCCTTCACCACGTGGGCGGCAAACGTGGCCATGTGGACCTCTTGTCCAATGGTCAGCAGCTCCGCTCGGATGGTGCGGGCCCTATTGCAGTAGGATTCCGCTGTCTCATCGTCTCCCTTCCTGAGGTGGGCTAACTGGGTCTGAAGTAGGGAAGCGTGGAGGGCATCACGAACTTGATAAGTAGACAAGATATATGCCCATGCTAGCTGTCCGGCTTTCTCTTGCTGAGAGAAACCAGAGATGGACATTCGGATGGGTGGAGAAACACATCGGTTCAGCACCATGAATGCGAACATTTGGCCCTTTGCGTCCTCCCTTCATTGCAAGGGGTTATTTTGGGGCCGGGCTTGGTGCTGTCCCGTTGCAAAACTGCCACAAATCAGCACACTGGAGCTGAGGTCGGATGGCGCTGACCCACGCGGTAAGGTCGTGCCTTCCCTCTAGCAGCAGCGTCACCGAGATGTGCTCAACTCCAAACTTGAATTGGCCATAGCTCGTGCCGATCATTCCCGTGTCAATGGTCGGTGCAAGAGCTCCTCCACCAATGCCCACAACACTTGGAGCCTCGTGCACAGCTCCTCCTTCACCGGTTCCTCCTTGCTGGCCGCTCGCAGGTGCTTGCTCCGCCGCGCGCTCCCGAACCATGCGTTGTAGACGACCATCTACAATAAGGTCGACCTCCTCATCACGCAAGTAAGGGCGGTGCTCACGAACGGACGCCTCCAGCTCCTGACGGACATTCAGACCCTCAGCGCTCGTTAACCACTCCATGCGCAGTCAAAACGAGCGTCGGCCACACCAACGTGGGAACGAAGTGATGGGAAGACAAAATCAAGCCGCTAGTTGGATCGACGCAGATAACGCAGCTCTGATACCATGTACAATTCCACTACTATAGCAGCTTGATAGAGCTCAGAAGCACGATTCCAACGCACCAAAGACTACAGGAAACGATCCACTATAGCCAAAGATACCCACAAACATAGCAGTGATAATGACTTGGTTGATTTCTGGTTTGTGCTCTCTGGTTTTATACTAGGATGCAATAAAAAAATAAAAGCACACAAGATAGTGTCGACCCGGGTCGCACGTTGAATTTCGTCGACGCAAAATTCGGAGCCTTGAATTTCGTCGAGCAAATTCTATTGACTGAAATTCCGTAGACGATAATTTCCGCGACAAGAATTCCGTCGACCACCGACTGTAACTCCTGTGCGAATTCCGTTGACTTCGACACTTCGCTACCGAGTTTCAAACCGAACGCGACCCGAGATCGATTTCGCCAAACTGTCCCCAATCTCGCCTGACAAGACACTTTTGGGACACTTGAATCAAAAGGTCTCCTGTTCGAAACTCGTGTGCACCATAACCAGCGCCTTAGCAGAAACTGTCCTGAATCTGTCCTGAGACACTTTCGGGACAGATTTGAAGGTCACGAGTTCGAATCCCAGCGCAGACATTTTGTTGCTCATGGCAGCATTTCCTTCTAACATGTCCACCACTGAGAGTGAGTACATTAGTCTGTGTCAGTGCATTTAGGAGGGTGTGTGGCTGAAGCGTTTGTTTGGGGAGTTTGGGCATGAGTTTGCTGGTGGTGTGCCTGTGTTTGTGGACAACCAGTCTGCCATTGCCCTTGCACAGAATGCATGCTTGCATGGCCACACCAAGCATATGCAGGTTTGGTGGCATTTCATCAGGGAGATGGTGGCGTGCGGCGAGGTGATCCTCCGGTGGTGCCCCACCAACCGTCAAGCAGCAGATATATTCACCAAACCTCTCCCTTTTGAGCGGCATGGTGTGTGCATGTCCTTGATGGGGATGCAGCCCCATGTCAGCATGGTGCCTGAGTAGGATGTGGGAGGACTGGTGCTTCTCTACCTTGACAACCTCATGCTGTGGATGGCGCCCCTCCCTGGGCAAGGGGGAGATGAAGTGAAGGATTTTGCCCAGTGGTGTTCAGCCACCTGCAGCACGAGCAAGGGGGACTGTTAATTGTGTAGGTGGTTGTGGTATTTTGCTCTAGCTGGTTGTGGGCTAAGGGTTTGAGCAAAATGTGGTGGGTAGACTTGTTGCGGGCTGGAATTGATCTCTCACTCAACAAGCACCAACAAACCTTTGCTATTGGTGTTGCTAGTTTAGCACTTTGGGTTGTTGAGGATTGTTGTAGGGCGAGGGTTGGGTTGGTCGGGTTTGAACAACTCGTCACTTTTCAGATCTGAACTCTTGCTAAAGCTACTCTCTTGATCTAATCCATGGCTACCAAGTAATTTTGCCAGGATACCCCGTCGCACTTAAATCGTGATAGCGATCAGCCTAGATCTTGGTTGAAGGCGTGCGTTACCATTCTGGAAAGTAGAGATTAAGCCCTTTCAATCGCGTACCTGGTCATGAGTTTCACGCAATGTGAGTTGCACACAATGTTCCGTCGAAGTCGGCGGACTTAATCTCTTGTACGCTCTCCAGATTCGCCCGCTTTCCATCAGCTGTGATGCTGCACAACTTGCTCTCGTCATCATCGCTCCTGAACAACGCATCACCGCATCTGATGTGGACAGGAAAATTGGGCAGCACAAAATTGTTGCGAGTGTTTAGCTGCATGGTACAGTACCGACCCCCGACCGCACGAGCCGGCCGATTCTCTCAACGCGCACAATGGGGAGTACACCTGGGCATCGAAAAACATTACAAAGCGTGGAAGATTTTTTACATCCACTTGAAGGAAATAGTAGCAGCACGTGAAGTGACTTTCTACGAATGACTCACCCTCCCGACATACCTCGCCAACCTGGAAGAAGAACGAGACCCCATAGGCGGATTTCATGGGGATCGAGCCTTTGCTTTATGTCGGAGCTCCTTCCCTTTACTGCCTTTCACCCTCGCCCTGTTCCTGCATTACTCTGCTTATTTCCCATCTTCGTGCCTCATTGTATTCTGTCCCCTTTTTCTCCTTCTCTCCCTGCACAGTTATCCCTTCCTCAGCTGTGAGAGATTCGGCTCCCACAGCTGGCTACCAAGAGTGGCGTCTGTCACCTGGCTACTGTAGCTTAGAATGGTAACATAAGTCCACTATGCACTGGTAAACAAACGAGAGAACAAGAGTACTCTGCTAGGCTAGGCTTACTTATGCTAGGCCACCCAGTCGCGAGATTCTCAGCGTGATGGGTTGGGTCCGAGTCGCCTTGGCCTTGTATTGGCCTTGTGCCAGATTTCCTGTCTCCCGAGGGTCCTGGAATCATGCCCGCAGCGCCTAGTAATCCCCTACACCACCAACTTCGCGCTTCTCCCAATGTCCCAACTACCTAATATACAAACTGAATGACAATTACTACACTGTTTCTACACCCCACTTAGCACAGTTACAGAATATAATGTTCTTACCATAATATTCAGTGACAGCTGTCGAAGCCCCTTCCTTTTACTGCCTTTCACCCTCGCCCTGTTCCTGCATTACTCTGCTTATTTCCCTTCTTCCTGCCTCATTGTATTCTGTCCCCTTTTTCTCCTTCTCTCCCTGCACAGTTATCCCTTCCTCAGCTACTCCCTGCCCCCTCCTGTGCTTGTGCTCGGGATGCCCGTGCACGTGTCACAGGACCCTCTTGCTGAGGCCGTCTCTCCTTCAGTGCTGCTGTGTTCGTCTGGTGATCCACTGTCCGCTCTCCTCTCTCATTTTCCAGGACCAGCACCCCTGACCCTCTCACCTCTTTAACCTTCCACCTCTCTGTTCCCAACCCCACGTCTAGCGTGTCTCTCTTCGCTCTGCGCAGGTAGACTTCCTGCCCTTCCGTCACTGCTGGTTTTGCTTTTCTGCCTCCTTGCTGCTGCCGTTGCTCGTATCTCTGGGCATCTCTCAGCTGCGCCGTATGCAAGTTCTCCAAGGCGGCCGGAAGCATTTCCCGCATGTACCTTGCTCGTGCTTCTGCCAGCGCCACCCACTGTTCTGCTCCCTTCACGCTTACCACCCCCGTTAGTACCCTAGGTGCTCCCACAGGTAGTATTGGTTCCTTTCCATACAGCAGGCTGTACGGGGAGTAGTCCTTTAGTGACGCCTGCTTCCCGAACCTGTATCCTGCTGCCACCCAGTCTAGCTCTTCATCCCAGTCCCTCTTCCGCTTCTCTCCGTACGCCCTCAGGTTCCGCTTCAAGGTCTGCACCAGCCGCTCGGTCAGCCCATCACTCTGAGGATGGTACCTTGATGTCTGTCTGTGTGGCACCCTTGCCTCGTCCAGCAGCGCCTGGAACTCCCCCTTGAATTCCGTGCCCTGATCAGTGAGTACCTCCCCTGGTGCCCCGAATCTGCACAGCACCTGTCCCTTGAATGCCTTCGCCACATGTCTGGAATCCTTACTCGGCAATGCACACACTTCTAACCACTTGCTTGCATGCTCCACCATGAGTAGGATGTACCGCTGTCCTCCCCTGCTCAGCGGCAGCTCGCCGGCTATATCCAGAGACCACCGAAACCCCAACCCTCTGATTGGCAGTGATTGCAGCTCCTGCTTCGCCTGGGTCAAGCTGGCCTTGCTTCTCTGGCAGCCTTCACAACCACTGACCCACTCTCTGACTTGCTTCCTCATCCCTTCCCACCACCAGCCGGTCTTGAGCAGCTGAGTTGTGCGCTCATGCCCGAAGTGGCCCAGCTTCCTATGCACCTCTTCTATTACCCCTTCTCTCTCTTGCGGCGCAGGTACCAGCTTCCATCCATCTACTGACTGCAGCTGTAACTGTCCCTGGTACCATCTGTAGTGATGCCCCCGTGCTCTCACCCTCTCTGTCACCTGTTCATTCTCCTCTGTTTCCCCTTTAATCCACCGCAGGGCTGTGGGATCCTCCCATATATCCTGTGGACCCCTCCTTCCTTGCTTTTCTGTTGCTGCCTCCTCCCCTTGCTTAGCGAGCAGCATCAGCGCATGCACTGGCTCTGCTGCTGGTGGGTTCCTTGAGAGCCCATCCACATGTTGCAGTGTCTTCCCCGGCCTGTGGCGTATCTTGAAATCATATTCCTGTAGAGTCATGGCCCAGCGTGCGTTTCTCCCCGTCAGCCCCTGGTGAGTCATCAGCCACTGCAGCGGGTGATGATCTGTGATCAGTGTGAATTCCCTCCCTTGCAGGTACACTCTGAAGTGCTTCACCGCCCATACTGCCGCCAGCCCCTCACCGTGATAAGAGCTGTACTTGGCCTCTGCTGGGTTACAGCTTCTGCTTGCGTATGCTACTACCCTCTCCTCTCCATCCAGTTCTTGGCACAGGATTGCCCCCATACCCTGACTGCTCCAGTCAGTGTACAGGCAGAAGGGCTTGTCGGCCTTGGGCAGCTGCAGAATCGTTGCTGTCTGCACTGCCTCCATGAGGTCTCTCAAAGCTGCTTCCTGCTCTGTCCCCCATTCCCACCTTTTGTCCTCTCTCAGCAGCCCATTCAGAGGTGATGCACGCTTGCTAAAATTAGGGACAAACCTTCGGTAGTAACTCAGAAAGCCTAGCACCGCTCTCAGTCCACTTCGGTCCTTCGGCTGCTGCAGCCTATTCAGCACCTCGACCTTCGCCTTCTGAATCCCTATCTGTCCTCCCTTGACCTCATATCCCAGGTACTGCACGGTCGCTTCCCCCCACCTGCATTTCTTTGGGTGGCACGTCAGTCCTGCTGCTGCCAGCGCCTTCAGCGTCCGCTCCACGTCTCGCACGTGCTCCTCCTCACCCTTGCTAAATATCACCACGTCATCTATGTAACATGCTGCACACTCCAGCCCCCTCAGTACATTGTCCATTACCCTCTGGAAGATGGCTGACGCGTTCCTCAGCCCGAATGGCATAAACAGCCATTCATACAGCCCGTCTGCACCATGGAATGCTGTTTTACGCACGTCCTCCTTCTTGATCTTAATCTGGTTAAAGCCCTGTCTCAAATCTAGCGTGCTAAAGATCTCCCCTGCTCCCAGTCGGTCGAAAATGTCCTCCGCTGTCGGCATTGGGTACCTGTCGGGCACTGTCACCTTGTTCAGTGCTCGGTAATCTCCACACATACGCCGGCTCAGCACTTCTCCCAGCAGGTCCTTTCTTGCAGCTACCACTGTCGGTGTTGCGTACTCCGATTCTGATCTCTGTATCAGTCCTGCTTCTAGCAACTCCTTGCATTTCTCCTTGCAGATGTCCTCATCCCCGGGTGTCATTCTCCGCTTCCTTTGAAACACCGGCTCGTCCGTGACCAGCTTCAACTCCATTTCCTTCACTGAGCACTTTCCTAACTCCTGTAAGGTAAACGCAAAGGCATGCCTATACCTGGCCAGCACCTCCTGCATTGCCCTTTTCCCTTGCTCGCTCATTGCGTTCCCCACAGCCCACGCTGGCTCTTCCTGGACTGCCCTACACGCCCACGCCCCCACCTTTTCCACCCTTTTCTCCTCCCCTCGCGGTTTCTGCTCCCCTTCCAGCACCAGCCCTCTCCACATTCGCCGCATCAGCCACTGCATGACCTGACCGTCCATAGCCTGTCCTAATGCTTTTCTCCTTTCTTGTTCCGTCACCCCTGCTGCCTTGGTTATGTCCTCCCCATACCCCATCGTCAGCTCCCGTTCCAGTGCCGTTGGTTCCTCCCACCTCCTCGTCCTATGATCGTACACCATGCCCTCTCCTGGCACTCCTCCTTCCTTCCTAAACCCTGCTGCCCCCTTGTACCCCACCAATGTCGGCCAGGCCCTGCGTACTGCCCCCACCTTGTTGCATGGGCATTGTGTCTCGTGCCTGCCCTTCTTCACCGGCGCTGCAGTCCTGCCTGGCTCTAATATCTCTTGCACCGTCTTGCTCCAGTCCCTTCGTATCCCATCTAACTCCTTCTGCAATAGTTCTTCCATCACGACATTCTGCCAGTACCTTCTGACACGGTGAGCCCGTGCCCCCAGCCTGGCCGCGTCACACCTTACCCCCTTCCCCAGCTTCCAAGTCACCAACTCTCTGATCTTTCTGACTGGTTCCCGGCAATCCCCCTCCATGTCTAGATGCTCCAGTAAGTACACCAGCTTCTCCTGTCTTTCTCTGATCCAGTCGATGATGCACAGCAGATTGATTAGCAGCGCTCCCCTTGGATCGTCCAACCCCTTTCCCTTCCCCGCTCTTGAGATGGCCTGGCACTCCCACCCTGCTACCAGCAGATCCACGTGCCCCCAGCCCCTCACCACTTCTCGTGTCGCGTCCCTCACATTGGTCAACGTTCCTGCCATTGCTTTGCTTATCACTGCTTCCTCCAGTAGTTCAGGATGCTCCTTTTGCAGCCTCTTTGCATGTTGTTCAGCCATCTTTCTCACTTGTCCGTCTTTTTCCACATATATCCACTCCTTCACCGCCACTCCTGCTCTGAGCACCGCTGCCAGCCCCGCCCCTATTCCACCAAACAGCTCCACCAGCCTAATTGGTTCCTGCCATGCATTAGCTACCGCTGCTTCACCCACTAGGCCCGCTCTCCCTCTCCCCTCACTCCCCGCTTGCTCAGCCGTGTATGCTCTTTTTGGCTCCTGCTTAGTGAATTGCACAGGCAGCTCACCCGTCTTGCTCCCCCGCGCCCGATACTACTTTCGGAACTTCACTTTCTCCTTCCATGTGCAAATGGTCATCCCCACGCCCCAGATCAGGTCGGTCCCTAGCAGCACGTCAAAATCTTCTGAGTCTGATATCCCGCACTGTAGCCGTATACTCGTCTGCTCCTCTCTCCCCGGCATTAGGACTATCTCCACGAGGTCTCTGGTACATGGCAGCCACTTGGGTTCGCCTCTTTCCACGGTCATTACCTGCATTCCTCGCTTTATGTTTTGCCCTGCTTCAGTCAACCCCAGCTTCCGTGCTAGCCTTTTTTCCCAGCATCACGCTCTGCGCTCCCGTGTCCAAGATTGCTGTCTTTGCTGTCTCTCCACCCACTGCCACCGTTCCTGCCTCTGCCACTAGCACGGTTGCCTTGCTAGCTAGCCGCTCCTTGGGATGCCTAGCTGGCTCCTCTCCTTCCTCACCTTTCTCCCCTGAGCTTTGTTTCGGTCTGCCCCTTTCCTTGGTCGTGTGGTCCCTTCTCCCGTCCCTGCCCCCACTATGCAGACCCAGCTCCTCTCTGCTGCGGAGCACCATGAAACTGTATTCCGGCTCTGGTTCCTCTTTTACTTCTCCTTCGTCATCATCTTCCCTGGCATACAACCCTGCCTCCTTCTCCTTTCGCCCACCCATTGCCTGCAGCTGCGCCTGTAGCCTGCCTATCTGACCCTCTATGTCTTCTATAGTCCTCTTCGGCCCCCCTGTGCGTTGGTAACAGTCCTTTCCCTTGTGCCCCCGCTTCCCACAGACCTCGCACGTTGGTGCATCCGGGCAGTCCTTGCGGCGGTGTCCCGGCTTTCCGCATGTGTCACAGTTCCTACAATTCCTCATCAGATGCCCCGGCTGCTTGCATCGGTGACAGGTACGTGTCTCAGCTCCTCTCTCCGCTCGGCCCTCTTCCTTTCCCCCCATCTCCGGCACTGCTGCTGCTGCTCAAGAGGGGTTCCTCTTTTCAGCCGGTCTCGGTAGGTACACCTCGTACTTCCGCTGCGCCAACTCCACTCTTTCTGCTAGCTCAAACACCTCTTCCGGTGTCGCCTCAGCCCCTAGATCATACACTCGCATCCTCAAGCCTCCTGCCAGCCCCTTATCTAAGCCGTTCAAGAATTTGCTAATGATCATACTGCTGTCAGTGCACACCACGTCCTCTGCTAGGTTCATCAACCGCCCGTAGTATGTTAGAAGCGATTCCTCATCTCGGCGCCTGAACTCCTGAAACTCCCTAATGCGCTGGGCCGTGTGCCCTGGAAACTGCTTCCTCAGCCGGTCTAGGAACAGTACTGTTGGGTCCTCGCCATCCTCCTCTGTCCTCCTCAGCCATTCTCCAATTTTCATGCGGTACAGTGTCTCCGCCTCCCCTCCCAGCGTGTTTGGCAGGCTTAAGAAGAACTCAATAGGGTCCATACCGCTCCGGTCACACCTGTACTTAACATTGCTGATCTGCATCAAGTAGTTCTTCAGGCTCGGGCCAGTCTCTTCATTCCCCGTGAAGCGCACCGGTACCTCCACCCTTGGCTGCGCCGCCGAGGCCCATCTGCCTGTATCCCAGCTTCCTGATTCTCCCCGAGCTGACCTCACAGCTCCCCACTGCCTCCCTTCTTCGTCCCTGCTTCCCGTACTGGTCCCGTACAGCACTCGCTCCAGCCCCTCGCGGGCTGCTCTCGCTCCTCTAGATCCTTCTCCGTAAGACCGTGGCCTCCTTGGCCCCGTCGGACTAGGGCTCCTCCTCTTCTCCTCCCCATAACCTTCTCTGCGCCGTTCCGCACTATCTCGCCGTTCTGAGTTCCATGCGGGCGTGCGCTCCTGGTACCGCCGCTCAGGCTCTCCTCGCCGCCATCCTCTATCTCCTATCCTTGAACCATTCGGCGACCGCTGGCTTCTTTCCTTGTCATGCCGTTCAGCATCCTGCCTTCGCTCCCTACCGCGCGTGCTTCTCTGGCGCCAATCCTCGTACTCTTCCTCTCCTTCATGATCCCCGGGCGCTGCCCCTTGCCCTTCACCCCTTGTCATACGTCGTCGGCGCGCATACCGCATCCCCGGTTCAGGTGAGCGGAAGACACCCGCATGCACGTTACGTCCTCCTTCGCCCTCCTGATTTGCCTTCGACTGTCGTTCCGCACCTTTGGCGCTTCCTCGCAGCACATCATTTTCACGCCGCCTTATTGGTGAATGCTCTTCGGCCTTGCCCTCCGCCTCGTGCTTCCGCGTCCCGCCGTGTGGGCTTGGTTCCTCATTGTCCTTCTCTGTATCTCCTTGCCTTCCTCCTCCCCGTGCAGTGGGGGAATCTTCCTCGGTTTGGCTCCTGGGATGTTCGCCGCCCCGTGCCGTCGGGGATTCTCCATCTTCGCCAACCTCGCCGTGCTGCATGCCGCCTTGCACCCCTGTCGCATCTTCATTTTCTTCCGCACCACGACGCAGCTCGCGTTCTGCCTCCGACGCTTCCTCCTGGTATGCTTCTTCGTCCGCTTCACTCGCCGAATCCAACGACTGCCTGTCGACGTCGCCATCGTATTGGCGCTCACGTCCTCTGTGCTGTCCCTCCGGCAGATTCCACGTATCGCTCCTCGCTGGCCTTCTCCGCGGCTCAGATCTGACACGCAGATCCCCATCATCACGGTGCCTGCCCGTCGGTGTCACCAAATCCGCGCGGTACGCCGCTCTGCGGGGCGAGCGCGTTGGCGACCGTCCGCGCTCCGGGGCGCGCCTTGTCTGCGACGGTGAACGCTCCCGTCGTAAGTACGTCCGCTGCTTGCGCAGTTCATGGCGATCCATATCGCCTGCACTTTTCTCTCGTTTGTGAGAGATTCGGCTCCCACAGCTGGCTACCAAGAGTGGCGTCTGTCACCTGGCTACTGTAGCTTAGAATGGTAACATAAGTCCACTATGCACTGGTAAACAAACGAGAGAACAAGAGTACTCTGCTAGGCTAGGCTTACTTATGCTAGGCCACCCAGTCGCGAGATTCTCAGCGTGATGGGTTGGGTCCGAGTCGCCTTGGCCTTGTATTGGCCTTGTGCCAGATTTCCTGTCTCCCGAGGGTCCTGGAATCATGCCCGCAGCGCCTAGTAATCCCCTACACCACCAACTTCGCGCTTCTCCCAATGTCCCAACTACCTAATATACAAATTGAATGACAATTACTACACTGTTTCTACACCCCACTTAGCACAGTTACAGAATATAATGTTCTTACCATAATATTCAGTGACATTTAATAGCAGACGAAACTGACTGGGACGAGCAAAATGTGGACAGAGCCTTGGAGGAAGCCAGACCTCTTCCGTACTGCTCAGTGGACGTCCCCATGGACGACGACAACCCTCGCAAAAGTATCAACGCCGAAGTCTACTGTGACTTCGCCGACAACGGTTACATTACACCCCAGCCAGACGACACCAACATTTGGGAACGCGTAGGCCCCAACCTCTTACCTGATCTAGAAGCGGGAGAAGAAGTAGCCTATCCCGAGGACACAAATCTCCCTCGCTACACACAGAGTGGGCTGTATATACTGGGACTTGTCACCGCCGTCCACGGAACAGCACCGCCTAAGGAGCATGCCACGGTTCAGCAGGCTCTGGGGGGGGGAGCACTAGGGAAAATGGCGCGAAGCCAAGGACAAAGAATTAAAGGCACTGGAAGAACGCAACACCTGGAAGGTCGTACCCATCGGAGTGGCACGCAATAAGACAATACTCACTGGGAAGTGGGTTTTTCGCATGAAGACAAAGGCAGATGGAACCATCGACAAGTTAAAAGCACGCTAGGTCGTACGCGGCTTCGACCAAGAGCACAGATGAGAATTCACCGAAACATTCGTGCCGGTCAGCCGACACACATCACTGCGGATTCTCCTCGCGATTGCTGCCATGAAGCGGAAGAAGCTCCGACAAATTGATGTCGCCAACGCCTTTCTCTACGCTCCCGTTGATGCTGAGATTTTTGTCGAGCAGTTCCTACACGCTCGACTAATGCGCATCGGATTCCGCCAACTACCGCACGACCAAGGCATGTACCGACTTACGAGAGGCACTGACTACATCCTGCTCATTGTCTACATGGACGATTTGCTCTACATCGGCTCGACCGACGGCATCACGACCTGGTTCGAAGGGGAGCTTCAGCGGGATCTCACAATCACCGTCTCCTCCACCGTAACACAGTACCTCAAGCTCAACATACAGGAAGGAGAGAACGCCAACGCTTCGGACTTACCCCAGTCGCTATCTCTACGCCATACCGCTACACCACCAGAAATCAAAAGGAAACAACAGCTCCGCTCAAACCCGCCGGCATACGCGATTATCAACGAAAGCTGGGATGCCTGCTCTTCGCAGCCGTCACCTGCCAACCGGACCTATCATACTCACCGAGCCAACTCGCTACCTAGCTCAAGAAGCCTGAAGCAGAACACATGGCGGAGCTTGACCGCGCACTTCACTACCTCGTCAGCACCCCGACAATTGGCCTGACCTACCACAAAACCGAAACCACGACGCCCAAGCTAATCGGCTACGTGGATGCCAACCACGCTGGCAATCCCGACAACGGTTGGTCGCACATCGACTACATCTACCGACTCGAGCGTATCGGGCCTATCTCGTGGCAATCGAGCAAACAGGAAATGATCGCCCTCTCCTTAGCTGAAGCAGAAGATATTGCACTCGCGAAACCAATTCGCAACAAAAGTTTCTCGCTTCCCATGATGGGTGGGGTCCTTCCCACGACCAGAAAAGCGCGTGCATACCAAACTGTGCACAGTTTGAGATAGCACGCAGGGTACTAGGCTTAGAGCATACCTGTAGACAGGGCAGGGCGTCGGCGTTCACTCAGAAGGGATCAGATGCGCCTTATAATGTGGGTGGTGCTGATTTCGGTGATGACGCGCAAAGCTAGTGTTCGCTAGGTAAAGACTTTTGTGTCGAAATGCAGGTTATTGTGCAACTACTGCCTAGCGTAAACTCGCGGCGAAAATCGAATCGCACCTGTTCGCCCAAGTGTGACAATCCCCTCGCCCTAGCCTTCCTTTCCCTATGTCCCACGCGTCCGCTCTCTGTCGCCAGCGTCGTTGCCATCGCTTCCGCAGCTCGTCGCATTCGCGACCCCAGCCCGTCGCCTTCACTTCCCCCCTGTCGCCCCTACTCCCCCCCCTCCCCCCGCTTCCGTTGCCTTCATTTCCCACTCCCGTCGCCTTCACTTCCCCCCCTCCCGTCGCCTTCACTTCCCCCCCTCCCGTCACCTTCACTTCCTCCCCTCCCGTCGCCTTCACTTCCCCTTCCCGTCGCCTTCACTTTCCCTTCCCGTCGCCTTCACTTCCCCTTCCCGTCGCCTTCGCTTACCCTTCCCGTCGCCTTCACTTCCCCTTCCCATCGCCTTCTCTTCCCTCTCCCATCGCCTTCAATTTCCCCTTCCGTCTGCTTCGATTCCCTCTTCCGTCGCCTTCACTTCTCCCCCCCCGATGCGTTCAATTCCCCCTCCGGTCGCCTTCCCCGCATGCCGCACTCGCTTTCCCGCCCTTCACACTCGCTTCCCCACCCGTTGCCTTCACTTCCCCTTCCATTGCCTTTCGCTCTCTCCTGCTCACTCTCTTTCGCCCTGCTCACTCTCTTTCCCACTGCTCACTCTCTTCCCCCCTGCCCACTCTTTTTCCCACCCTTTACTCTCTCCTCTCTTGTTCACACCGTGTTCTCACCCCTCTTCCCCCCTTCACTCAACCGTTCCCCCCTGCTCTCTCTCTTTCCCTCTGCTCACTCTCTTCCCCCCTGCTCTCTCTCTTTAACCCAGCTCACACTCTCCCCTTCCCCCTCCCCCCACTCTCTTCCCCCCTGCTCACTCGCTCCCCCCCTCAATCTCTTTCCCCTGCTCGTTCTCTTTCCCTCTGCTCACTCCCCTTGTGCTCACCCCACTTTCCCCATTTCTCACCCATTTTCCCCTTCACGCTCTCTTACCCCCTCTGCTCGCCCCTGTTTTCCCGGCTCAATCCTATACTCAATCTGCCTAACTCCTCCCATACATGCCCTCCACCTTCACCCCTCGTGTATTCTGCCATATCCCCTCTTCCCGCCCCGTTCCATACAAAACCATGCTTGTACAGGTGCCCAGGACCATGGGTCCCAACAGGAGTGGGTTGAAAAGTTACCAACTCCTAGCTTTGTGCTTTTGCTTATAGTCTTGTCTTGGCAACATTACTGGAACATTATTTTGCTTTGTTGCACTTATTCATAATGCTCCAAACTACGATGTGGTGTATTATGAGACGCATCCAACCAATATCCATAACAATACATGGTATAGCTATTGTAGACGACTAGTATCATCAAACCCTATACTCATCCCGACTGGATGAGATGATGGGCGGATGAGATGATGGGGGGATGAGATGATGGGGGGATGAGATGATAGGGGGATGAGATAATGGGCGGATGAGATGATGGGCGGATGAGATGATGGGGGGATGAGATGATGGGGGGATGAGATGATGGGCGGATGAGATAATGGGGGGATGAGATGATGGGGGGATGAGATGATGGGGGGATGAGAGGAAAATGTGTGGCTGGGTACAAGGGTTTGGGTAGAAGGGTGGAACGGAGGAGCAGGGTTGGCGTGAGGAAGGGAGAGAGAGAGTGGGAGATGGAAAGAGTAAGGGGGACTGCATCGAGGGAGGATGAGGAGAGGAAGAAAGACAGGAAGGGAGGACGGGAGGAAGGGAGGACAGGAGGAAGGGAGGACGGTAGGAAGGGAGGACGGGCAACAGAGAGGGTAAAGAGGGTAGTGAGGCAAACATCGCAGAAAAGGCAAACGCAAAAAGCAACTGAAAATCAAAGGAAACGCAACTGTAGGGTTACTTCAAAAACGCAAGAACAAAGTCAAGGTTCAAAATTGTGGGTGCTTGAGTGACTTGATGGGCTACGTTTTTGCCACTTTACTAGCACAAACTACATACATTGACGCAACTAACCCGGTATGTGGTAAATCAACCTCGAAGTTGCGGAAAGTCACTTCCGAGCAACCACTGCAAAAATTTCACGAGTACGCCACGTGGCATGTTACGTACTCGAGATGAAACTGCGACATGCTGACGTGGCTGTCTATGTACGCTAATGACCATCGTCAGATCAGATTTAGATCGACGGTCGTGAACTTGCCATGTGAACCAACAATACGTCATTTTTAAGCGTGCGATATGAAAAAAACAATTGCTGGCGATTGGAACAAAGACATTTTCGATTGAAGCTTCTCTTTTATGAGTATGCGTTTTCAAGCACAAATTAGAATTTCAGTATACAAGGTTTTTCTTACAAGGCATGGAAACTACAACCACACTAGAATTACTACGAATAATGCACATTTGTGGAGATGTGTGAGCTCTGCTAATAAGAAGATGGATATAACCTGCAAAAACAGAGAGACAAAAACACTAGTAAAAGCATATCAAGTCTCCCATTCCACCACTCACCATTGGGGTTAATAATGATGGAGTGTGCTCAACAGTGAAAAATTGGCATCTTGCGATTATGGCTGACGATAGGACTGGGTTAACATGTTGGCCCTGCAAAACATGCAAACACAACTTGTTGTAACGCATCCTGCTGACATTGTTGTGAAGATTAAAGAACAGGAATGAATGAACTATGAAATGTGTGAGTACAAGTACCAACCCTAATTGGGTTGTACCCCCTATGGAATACCCCACTACAGCCTACACAAAAGCATAAGCTATAAGTTCTGACACACCCCCATAGGCAAAGTGGGGGAGAACAAGGGGTCACAAGACCAGTCAAGCAAAGCAAAGCAAAGCTCAGGGTGGATGACAAAGTCACCACACAGTCCGAGCACAAGGTCAAGGCCACAAGGCCAGTTCACATGCAAGATGAGACATATATATATAAGGCTAAACAAGCAAGAGCAGGTATATATATATATGCAAGAGTACAAGTAAGATCAAGAGGTGAGCAAGTGAGGTAAGACAGGTACAAGTCCCAGCTCAGTGCAGAAGCGCTGATGATCACAAGGCGGAAGTGCCTTGGTGGAAACATCAGCAATGTTGGCCTCAGAGGCCACGTACGCAAGTCGCAACTGACCACGCTGCTGCAACTCACGAGCAAGGAAGTAACGGAGAGCAATGTGCTTCGTTCTGTGCTCCAAGCGCTGCTCTCGACACAAGGCCAGCATGGCCTTGTTGTCTACGTACAGCACTAGAGGAGAACGAGGCACCTCTCCGAGGTCAGTCAGCAGGTAGGTGAGCCAGCGAAGCTCCTGTGCAGCCATGGCCCCTGCGTAGATCTCAGCCTCACAACTGGAGCCGAGAACAGAAGACGAGCGAGTAGCCCGCCAAGAAACAGAGCCAGAACCAAGACTGAAGGTGTACCCCTGCGACGACCGCTGCGTAGCCTGGTCGTCAGCCCAAGAAGCGTCCGCGTTACCAGTGAGGACCACTGGACTCCGCCCTCCAAGCACTAGCCCCATGCCCGACGTACTGCACAAGTAGCGCAACACCCTCTTCGCTGCAGCCATGTGCTCTGGTCGGTGTCTCCCAGGAGCAACATAGCGTGCAAGAATGCTAAGAGGGTATGCAAGGTCAGGTTGTGTGCAGGTCATCAGGTACATGAGGCAGCCAACAAGCTCTGGGTACGGGCCACTCGACTCTACGGACTCATCCGAAGGCAGAGCTGAGAGTGAGTGGCGAGTAGCCAGAGGAGTGGCCTGAGGCGAGGAGTACGTGAAGCCGAAGCGCTGAAGGACCTGCTGCACCATGTGCGACTGAGTCAAGGTAATGGTGCGCTGTGCTCTGTCCCGAGTGATCTGCAAGCCAAGGTAGCTGCGCAGTTCACCCAGGTCTGTGCACGTGTGTCTCTTCAGCAGCTCGAACTTCACGTAGGCGAGTCCAGCAGTGTCAGCAGCGGCAAATACCAAGTCGTCTACGTACACGAGGATGTAGAACGGCGGCAGAGAAGTGTCGGTGCGCAGAAACAACGACGGGTCAGCAGTAGAGGGAGCAAACCCAAGAGCCACAAGCGTAGTCCTCAGTGTGTCGTGCCACTCACGCGGTGCCTGGCGGAGACCGTAGACTGGCCGTCGGAGGCTCCACTGGGTGCCAGGAGGGAAAGTCCCAGTGAAGCCAGGCGGACGGCGCAGCCAGATATCCTCGTGCAGGCTGCCCTGCAAGAAAGCAGTGCTGAAGTCAAGAGAGTGAAGCTCGTAGTCGCGCCGAGCGGCTATGTGTAGCAGCACCCGAAGAGTAGTCATCTTCGGGGTGGGAGAGAAGGTCTGAAAGTAGTCAATTCCCTGCCGCTGACTGAAGCCACGAGCAACGTACCGCGCCTTGAAGACAGGTGGAGAGCGAGGCGGCCGCTTCACCCTGAAGATCCACATGCCACTGACGATGTTCGCCCCAGGAGGGGGAACCTCGTCAACGTAGGTGCCTGTGGACTTCCAGGAAGCCATCTCTGCATCCATAGCTGCCTGCCACTGAGAGGAGTAGGGACCCTCTACGGCCTCCGCGTAAGAACGCCGAGTCGGGATGTCTAGTGCATCCGGGTCTCCCTCAGGGGCAAGTAGTACAGACGCGAGATGAGGTGAAGCAGCAGCCAGACACTGGAACTCCTCCTGCCTATCCTCAAGGACGTCCGTGCCAAGAGCACACTCACCCCCGACGGACGGAGGACAGACAGACGCAGACTCAGCAACAAGACTAGCAGCGTAGTCTAGACGACAGCGAGCAGCAAAGTCGACGAGCTCAGTGACAGGAGCAGACGCAGCAGTGGACTCAAAAGAGGGGTCAGTGACAACAGTAACAAGAAGACGCGTGACAGTAGGACTGGCAGCACGAAGAGAGTCCGACTCCGGGTCGGGAAGCGCAGGAAGAGAGGACTCAGGAGGAGAAGGCAAAGGGGCACGCAGAGGAGTAGTGGACGGACGCAGAGACATCCGGTGCGTGCCAGGGACAGGAGGAGGACGCGGACGCGAACTGCGACCACTAGCGCGAGCAGCTCGAACAGGCGACGCGGGACGAGACGCAGGCTCACGACGCTCAACAAGACCTCCAGTAGGACCAGTGTAAGGAGAGGGAGCAGGTAGTGGGGAGGCTGGCTCTAACAGTGACGGCGACTGGACAGACGGCAGACACTCTACAGAAGGAGGAAGACCAAGAACCTGCTGCAGGAGCGGAACCAAGTATGGCCGAGGCCGCGCGGGGACTCCAGGCAAAGCAGGGACAGCACCAGAACCCTCAGCGGCAGCACCAGCGCCAACAGCAACTCCAGCGTCAGGACCACCTCCAGGACAGACAGCAGCAGTCTCAGCACCAACACCCTCAGCAGCTCCAGCTCCAGTAGGACCCGAAGGTCCAGCAGCTCCAGGACCGGCAGCACCAGCACCCTCAGCGGCCGAAGAAGCTCCAGCTCCAGCAGTACGCCTCCAGCGGCGAGCAAACCACTCGCACAGCTCTTGTGGAGAGAGGGGCTCCCGCCAAGACGGAACACCCGGAGAAACTCCAGGCCCAGCGCCGCTAGACGCCACAAGAGGAGGTCCAGTGGCCGTAGGATCCGCACTCCCCGGCTCAGCAGCTCCAGACGCAGCACCTCCAGGCTCAACACCCTCCGGCGCAGCACCCCCAGACTCAGCAACCTCAGGCTCGTCACCCCCAGGCTCAGCACCCACGCGCCCAGCACCCCCAGGCTCAGCACTCCCAGGCTCGTCACCCTCAGCAGGACCAGAGTCACCATCAACCTCGACCGGCTCGACGGCGTCACCTGGGACACACCTGAAGGGGCAGGAACC